ATTGGATTCACAGTATGATTTCTTTGCAGGGCTAGAAACTAGATAAAACTCAGTCAAATGCTCTTTTCTTTCATTTCTTTCTTTTTCTTTTTCTTTTTCTTTATTTTGAGGAAATGTGCTTCTAGCTGAAGTATAGTCAGTTTACGATGTTGTGTCAATTTCTGGTATACAGCATAATGTTTCAGTCATACATACACAGTGTTTTTATTTCCTATTTTTATTAATGATTTTTTTGGTCTTGCCCCACATTCTCTCCACTCTGTCCAAGTTACCAAACAATCTGGAATAGCTATCTCTCTGAAGTTGTCAATAAGAACAGTGCCTTTTCTCCCACAACAATCTAAATTTTATCATGTATACCATCCCTTCCTCATAGGCCATGGAATGAAATATTCTAAAGAAGCAGACATACAAACTGATGGCCATTTGCAAGCATATCTCAGGACTATTTATCTTTCCAATAGGAATTGGAGAATCTCACAGAATGAAGCCTGTCTGTACAGGATGAGATATTGATGCCAAAATATTTCCTACTTAAGAAAGGTGGTGGTGCAGCAGGGGAAAAGTGAAACTGATATAACAAGAAGCCTATGATCTCACATGTAAATGCACATTTTATAAGACAATTTTCAGAATCACACAATCTTAAAATTAGATGGGAGCTTAAAACTCATCTTAGTCCCATCTTTCTGTTGCCCAATAAAGAAATACTATCCATATCTACTTGAACTCCTTTAGTAACAGGCACTTCAGTACTCACATGACAGCACAATGTATTATAGTTTATTTTTTTCTCCTCTTTGGCAACTGGTTAAAACTTCAAACCACCAGCTAATTGAGCACATACTGTCATGGAATTCCAAAAAGATTCTTCAAGACAATCTAACCTCATTCCTTTGATGATCCAGATGGGGAGACTGAGGCTCACAGAAGTGATAGAATTTCCCCAAAGTCATGTAGTTGGTCGGTGGCAGAGCTGGGACTAGAATCCAAGTGTTCATTTTCAGGGCCCAGTGGCTTGTCTATTTTCCATAATTAAAGAGAGGGGTGGGCCCAGGTTTAGGACTGACTGATTACTCAGTAGGTATATTACCAAGACTCTAGCTTCTCTTCCCCACTACACACACTCCCAGAGCCTAATCTTGGCTCCTTTTACACTCAAAGGAATACTTTTAAAGGGTGAGTTGGGTCAAGGAGAAGTGGCTCATGGAAAGGAAGTGATGCTGCCCACTTCCTTTGGCTTATCCACAAGGGTAACTAACAACCTCTTGGAAGTGAAGATATTTTACTCTTTGGTTCTACCATATATGTTTCATGACAATTTATTTCTGAGACTGCCATGATATCTTTTGGGGTACTTAAATGATATCATACCTGCAGTCACCTTGACATGGGAAGCATGAATTTCTGGTCACTCAAAAAACACCTGACAAATACCTTCTATGTCAGGCATTCTGTTAGGACTTAGTGATGACAGGAAAATCCAGAGGTAAATGAAGTATCTTCTCTACCTTTAGGAAATCATAGTCTTGTGAGGAACATAGAAAACATATACAGTTAACTCTAATCTAAAACAAACTATAGTCATCCTTATATCTCCCATGAACACAGAATAATAATTCTTTCCATTTTACAGACTGATTGTGAAACTGGTTCACATCCCTCTGTTAAGTGTCCAAGGGAGAAATGATGGATGGAGCTAGTCTCCAGAAAGAAAACAGAGAAAAATAGGTTCTGCTTCAATATCAATGGTCAGCTCTGAAGAATGTCTCCAAAAGATGCATTCAAGTGGAGTAGGCCAAGAAGATATCTAAAGAAGGGTTTTGGGGCCTACCTTGGGTCCTCAGGTAGAGGTATTGCTTACCTCCCTTCTGGGACTAGGGACTTTTGTCCCCCTTAAAGAGCTTCTTTAAATGAGGCCCTTCAAAGAAGGAATAATTAGTAAGATCATTAGAGGATAAATTCTTCTCTTGTCTCCTTCTGCCAAAGTTGGCCTAATTTCCCAGCCTATATCTTAAACTGAAATAGCTGTGGACAAAATGAAAAAAAAATTAACCATAGAGTAAGAAAAATCTGGCTTCCAGTTTTGGTTCAGACACTTACTAACTAAATGATCCCTGGCAAGTTTCATTTTTGGGGGGCCTGCCTATTTGGCCACTTGCACAATTAAGACAAGAAGACCTAGAATTTCTTTAGTTAGGGTGAGGAATCAGGGGGATGATGGATTTGAAAGTACTCAGCACATAGTGGGTACTTAAGAAATAATAAATTACAAAGGAACTCCTCAAATTCACCCATCTTGTTCCTTTTTTAGTGTTTCCCATCAGTTTGATGGCACCACCATCACCCCAATTTATATAACTCAAAACCTGAGTCTTATTTGATTTGACACCATACTGTATGAGGAATGATGGAAGAGCTGGGCTTTTTGACCTGGGAATGGTAGATCCAGAGGTATCTGGTATTTGGTTTTCAGATCTCTAAGGAACTATCATGGAAGAGAACAAGCAGACTACTCTGAATGGCCCCACGGAGAATGACTAGAACCCCTGGAAGCCATGGGGATACTGAGTTCAACTTAATGAAAGAAGAACTTTTGAAGAGGTAAGGCTTTATATGAAGGGAATGGACTCCCTCAGAGATCAGTAAGTACATACGCTTTGAAAGGATTCAGGCAGAGACTAGCCAGAATTTTACAAGGTGAAGTCAATTGGGGTGAAAGAAAATTATGATTCATGAAAACCTACTATGTGCCAGATATTGTGCTAGATACTTTGCAGGAATTATTTATTTTAATCCTCCCAACAAAACTATGACATGGATACTAATCTTCCTCCAAACTGAGGATTGGAGAAGTTCAATATTTCTCACTGGGCTTAGAGGAATGATGCTTTGCTGTATCAAACTGGTTGGCACTAAGTGCAGTAGTACCTCATTCTTTGTGTGAAAAAAGAAAAAACACACTCCACACACATATTTCTAAATACCCTATGAATATCATACTGATCTTGATTGGGAATGATGGATAAATAATATGCTTAGGATCACAAAAAGCAGGTAAGTAGCAGACCCAGGACTTGAACAAGCTGTGTCTAACTCAGGAAGTAGATATCCTTTCTACAGAAGTACATGGAATTGGGATTGGAATATACAACCTTTTTAAAGTCTAAACTAATCCTAAGAGATACTGATTCTCTCATCCCTCTTTTTCCAATCTCATATAAATCATCAACTTCTAAGTTCTACAGATTCAACTTTTGTGATGTCTTGTTAAACTCATTTCCACTTTTCTATTCCCACAGCCAACACCTCAGTTCCAGGGTATCATTCCCTCTCTGTATCTGGTTTATCCACCTCTCATGTTTTCTTATTCCAATTCAGTGAACTCATGTTTGCCAGATTATTCTTCTTGAAACACATATTTGGCTTTTTCCTTTAGGTTAGAAATTTTCAAAGGCTGGCTTTCCACCATATGCCAAATCAAACAGAAAAGTCTAGCATCCAAAATTCTTCCATAATTTGCCACCAATCTACCATGGCAACTTGAACTTCCACTTTTTCCCTAATTTGTACTCTAAAATCCAGTTCAGCCAGTGTTCTTTTCACATGCCTCGAGCTTCCCTGCCTCCAAACAGTTGTTCCTGCTTTTCTTTCTGCTTAGACTGCCTTCTCTCCTATCTCCACCTGTTGAAATCCTAGCTGTGCGTCATGGTCCATCTTAAATAATAGTAATAGTTAACATTTATTGAGTGCTTATTTTGGTCCAGCCACTGTGCTAAGTGTGTACTAGAATTTTACATGGATTTTCTAGCTTAATCCTCATAAAAACTTGATAAAGTAAACTATTATTATCCCCATTTTAACCTAGTTTAAACCAGAATTCAGAGAGTAGGAAGTAATTCTGCTTGTCCAATGTCATACAAGTTAATAAATGGTAGGGAAGGGATTTGAACTCAAATAGTCTGGCTCTGGAGCCCTGAAAGGAATTACAATGTCAAAAAACAATTAAAAAAAAAACTTTCTGCTTTTTCCTTGGCTCAACTTGATGTGATCCTTACTTGACAACATAGAAGCATTCTGACTGAACTTTTAAGCTATCTTGTGTTATATTTCTTTGTTCTTATACCCATGATGAGATCTTCAGGTCCCAATGGGCACATCCACAGTCTTAGCCAACTGTCTGTCTCATGCAGTAGTGACACAGAATAGATGACCAGTAAGTCTGTTATGTTGAATTAAAGGCATGTTGGGGTGAAGGAGGAGATAGGAGAGTCATGAGGGAAAGATTCCCCCCCACTCTTCTTTCTTAGCCACCCTGCATGACATAAATGTTGGCCAATGCTGCTAACACCTGTCCAAATCAGACTTTGCAGTCTCTGCTTCCCTAGCCCGGTTTCTGGCGAGTCTCTTCTTGTCCCCCAGTTCTCACAGCTGACTTGGCCTTGGCCAGTGTTTGGAGTAAGGCAGGATCAAAATATCACTGCCCTGGGCTCAGTTTCCAGGAGTGAGGGATCAAGTGAAACCCAGCTGGGTGGGTGAGGGTGCAGACTGAAAGCCCCCAAATAGAGCCTGAAAGCTCTTTATACAAGCCCTAACTTGCCCAGGGGCCACGTGGGTAGTCCAGAGGCTCAACTTCCCTCAGGATGCTTCACAAACTTGATCCAACCCCTCCCTCCCCTAAGCTCCTAAAACCTCCTTCTCTTCCTTATCTCACAACCCCAGATACTCAGGGTGGTTGGACATGTTCAGGCATGTTCCCAGAGGCCATCTGGGTCCAGTAAAAGCCTACCTCGGGAAAAATGGCTTTCCAGGGTATTAGGTCAGGTCCCTGGCACCTTAGACAGTACACCCTGGATACAGATGCACGGGCAGACAGACAGCCACAGGAAACCTTCCTAGCCATTCTGACTTTGTAGCACCTTAACAGTGTCATCCTAACCTGATCTATGTCCCACAGGTCTAAGACATTTTGCCATGTTAGAGGGTATTTCCACACTTACCCTATAAATGGATGTATGTTGCTCCAGCAAAGGAATTCCTGGACAAATGTACCTCAGCACAGGCCAGACATCCCACCAATCCCGCACCTCTTAGCCCCCAGCCTGCATACCACACTCAATAGATGAAATCCGTTGCAGTCAAAGCTCTGCTCTGATTCATTTCACATCCACGTGTAGCAAAAACAGCCAGAACTCATTCTCCTTTTCTTTCAAGCTTTGCCTACTTCTCCACCCCCGTGAGGCAGCTATTGGACTACTCAAGTGTCTAGGCGTGGCTACACAAAGAAGTCCCAGCCCTGAGAGGGACACAGGGTGGAGGTGTTGGGGAGGTGAGTGGAGGGGTTGGGGAAGGGTGGGTAAACCGGGACCAAGCCACTCCTATAGAAGGAACTGAAAAGCTCTAGGGACTGAAGCAGGGTGAGAGGGAATGAAAGCAGGAGAGACTATGGAGCTGAAGTTAAGATCTGTGGTGCCAAGGGAGGATTTGAATCTTCGTGGCAGGGTGTCATTTCCTCACATAAGCCTCACTCACCCAGTCCTCCGGCATGCTGCACTCTGTTTATTCCTTTATTGGCACTGAATTATAATCTGTAATAATTTAATTAGTTAATTGGCTTATTCATTTAATGTCTGTCCTTTTCCTTCCACTAACTGGTAAGCATAATGAGCTAATACTTAATAACTAACAATTATAGAACACTTGCTATCTGCCAGGCACTATTCTCAACATTTTACATATATTAACTAATTTTTAACTCTTATAACTAGCCTTCCTTATTCATTATTTAGAGATAAGAAAACTGAGGCATAGACTGACTTGCCCTGTGTTAACTAGTGAGGGACAGGGCTGGGAAGGAGTCTGGTACATGGCAGCAGAAATAAACAAATTAATGAGAAGAACAAGTATAAAGGACAAAATGGGAGAGGTCAGAAGAACTCTGAATTTGTTGCACTTGAGTAGTTAAAGAACTCCACAGCTGAATAAATGTGAGCTGGGAGCAATAGGACCTTTTAACCTGGGGGTACTCTCCCATCTGATACAACCATGCTGCCTTTATTATTTTTTTTAAAGTCCTTTCCAGCTGAGATGGGAAACATCCTTCAGGGTCAGGATTAGGGGCCTTTCAACAACCCCAGCCAGCTTCAAGAGCTCACTCAACCTTTGTGCTCTCAGATAAACTTTTCTACCTCATTTGATTGTGCTCAGCAAACTAAATGCAAGGCCACTGGCATGAGTGAACTGAATTGGAAGGACATTTGCTGGTGCATTGGCTAGTAGACAGCATTATCAGAATTCTTCTTTGAAGAGGTGAGAAGAAACAACATTTACTGAACATTTATAAATCATGCAAATGTGCCCCTTAATAGCGTACAACAGTCCTATGTGATAGGGATTACTACCCTTATCTTATGAATGGGGCATTCATCTTATGACTGAGATGAAGAGGCTCCTTGTACTCCATGATGCTTCCTGGAGGACAAGAGGAAGCCTGAGATAATGGTAATATCAGGGAAACTTCAGGGTCCACAGGCTGTTGGTTTATTATTTGGAAAATGACCTTAAGCTGCAACTGTGAAACTACTGCTCTCCACCATAACTAGTTCAATAAAAATATAATAGTGGCTTATTATCACCGAGCACTTGCAAGGCACTGTTTCAAGTGTTTTATACGGATTGATTTATCTAGTCACAAAAGCCTATGAAGCCCAAAACGTTAAAATCATCCTTGTCTCTTCTTTTTCTACAATTCATCAGCATAAGAATCAGATCTGCCTTCAAAATATGCTATGAATTCCACAAATTTTTAGCACATTATTGCAAATGCTTTGTTGCAAGCCACCATCACCTTCCATCTGGACTATTGCCATAGCTTCCAATGGGCCTCCATGCTCTTGTCCTTACTCCACTCCAGTCATTTCTCAGTGCAGCAGCCAGAGTGATCCTCTAAAAATGTAATTCAGCCCGTTTTCCAAACCATTCCAATGACTGACTTCTTATTCAGAGTAAAAGCCAAAGTCTTTAACAATGGTCTGCAATAGTCTACATTATGTCCTACTCCATCTCACTCAAGTACCCTACTCCTTTATTGCTAATCTTGTCTCCTACAACTGCTCCCTGACCACCATATCCACACCACACTGACTTTCTTGCTGTTTTTTCCAACACTCAAATCACACTCTACACTCAGTCTTTGCACTTACTGTTCCTTCAGCCTAGGAAACTCTTCCCCCAGATATCTGCATGGTTTATTCCTTCACTTCCTCCAGGTCTCTGCTCAAATTTCACTTTCTCAGAGACTTTCCTAAACACTATATCTGACGTAGGATAATGAGATTGTCAGGGCATTTTGGACTTTTCCCTAGCACCAGCTCTAAGGACAGAGGTGCAATGTAGGGGTTGGTAGAGTTAAGGCTGTCAGCTCCACCCTCTATGGGAGAGCCATTCTGTCCCGATATACCTGGGCAGTAGAATTGAGGCTGGGCCAGCTCATTTCTTGGGGGTTCTCTCCATTCCCTCCTCTTAACATGGGCAAGACTCACTTTATGAATTCAAACCAAGTAATCCCAGGTAAAGAGTTTCTTTGATTATACTCCACTACTGGAATCAGCCTGCTCTAACATCAGGATAGACAGGGCCAGCCTCCCCTCTGCCTATCTATGGGGCCAGAGATGTTCTTCTGGGGCCCAGTGAGCAATTCAGGTCTCCCTGATGCCACCCCTGACTCTCTCTCAAAGGTTATCTAGGGTCACTCAGGGGAATATTGGCCTTGGCTGTGTCTTAGAGAAGCCTGAACAGCCTCTAATTCCAGGGTTCAATGCAGCAGAGTATACTCTTATGGGAGAGCCTCATGATTATCCAGGAAAACTATGGTCCATAAAGCCCCTCTGAAGGCTGGAAACAGGGCAGAAGCAGAGATTGAAGGCACTAGGAGACACTAAGGCTTGTGTGGCAGTCCCTGTGGACTCCGGCATCTCTAGGGATGTCCCTGAATACCAAGATCAACTCCCAATACCCTTTAGTCAGCCTGTAGGATGTGTTGTAGATAACCTTGGTCACAGATGTCTCAGGTAATGGCATCCAGAGGCTTGCATATTCTGGTTTAGAAAGCTACGGTATAAGAAAGTATTACTCCCAGCTCTGGGATTTTTCTAACTTAAGCTGGGTCCTATCTTATTTCAACAGTCTTTTCTCTCATCCTTAATCACCTTCCTTTCCACCTACCTAAAATGGAAACTCACTTCTCTTATTCAAGTGCCCAATACTAATACACCCTATTCTAAACTCCTCATAGATGACTTCACCTCCATTTTCACTGAGGCTATAAAAAAGCACCGGGCTAGAACTCTCTAGACAACTTCTGATCTCCACTTTCAAGCTTATCTTTATCTCTTATCTTAGAGCTTTCTCTGGTCCCAGACTAATCTCTGTGTCCTCTCTTCCTGTATGCTCTGCTTTTTTTTTGTCTTGTATCTTCACAATCTCTTTCCCTCCAGCTTTTCCCCCTAAATTCTGTCTTTCCATCCAGACCCAATATTCTGGAATAGGTTTTCCATAGTCCTTAACCTCCATCTCTTCATTTCTGAACTTATCACATTCTGCTTTCTTCAGGGTTACTCATCAATTCCTTGCTATCAAACCCATGAATCTGTCCTATCTTCTTATATGAATTCTCTGAAACAATGAAAAGTGTTTGGTTCCTTTCCTTACTGGCTCTCTTCTCTTTACTTTCACAGAAACCATGTCTCCTGGCTTCACTTCTTTCTCTTTAACTTTTCTCAGATTCTTCTCCACTTGCCCCTAAAATGTTGGAGTTTTCCAGAGTTATCAGTCATTTCAATGATTAATTCCTACCTGCAAAACAGTACCTAAAGCATACTACTGCCCAATAGAGCTTTGCTGAATAAATGAGTGAATAAATAGCTGAATGAGTGGGCCCAAGGAGGAACATGCTTATCTTTGAATTCATCCTTCTTTAATGAGTTCCCTGACCCCAGGTTAGCCACCACACAAAGAAGGTAGCCAAAAATAACACTGATGCCTAGACTCAAGATAATAATAACAGCCAATACTTAATCAGCACTAGATCAACTCTATGTCAGGCCCTGCGTTAAATGTTCTACATGCAACATCTCATTTAATCTTTACAATAATCCTATGAGGTATATACCATGATAACATTTCTGTCTTATAGATGAAGAAATTGAGGCACAGAAATGAGAGGTAATAACCTCTCATGAAGCCACAACCAATAAGTGACAATTGACCCAAGACTCTCAAGAATAGCTGAGGTCTGAATGATTCACTGCCACACTCAAAGGTATAATTACTTCTTTCCTTCCCAGTCAGAGACTCTTCCCATCCCCTGGACAGCTATTCTAAACCTCAACCTTTTTGCCTCAAGTCCTTACTATGGTACCTAATTCTTAGTTGAGAAAATGGACCCCAGTCCTCTTTATCAAGAAAACAGATGTTGTTAGGCATGATGTCACTCTGCCTCCTTCCCTATGTCTGCAAGTTTCTCTTTCTTTTGACCCATTCTGGCTTCTCCTCTGAGAGGAGAGGAAGAGAGTATTTCCTCCCTTCCCCGCCCCCTATGAACCATGCTTCATTTTTAAACTCCTCTCTTGCTGGTATATTTGTTATTTACCTTCCCTCTTGTGCTCAATCCTTCTACCCACAAACTTATTTGACTTCTTCCTACTCTAAAGTAAAATAAAATCTTCCACACTGCCTCCTCCTCAAATAACAGCCTCATCTCTCTTCCTTTCTCAGCCAAATTTCTGGCCAGAGTACTCCCCATTCACTGTTTCCTTGTCTTCACTCTTCATTAGCTTCACAATCCATTATAATCTGGCTTCTAGCCCAATGCTGTCTCCCTGAGGTCACAAGTGATATTTTTACTGCTACATTTTAGGGAACATTTTCACACATTTTCTTATTTATTTGCAGTTTTTTTGTTTCCAGTGCTGGGCACTCTTTTCTTTGGGAAACATTCTTTCTTGCATTGGAAAACATCACTGTCTCCTGGGTTCCCTCTATTTCTCTAATGCCTCTTTCTCAGATTGTATTACTGGGTATACTCCTATTTCTCACTCCATAATGTTGGTAATGCTGGGGCCCTCACAACACTTTATACTTATAACCCCATTTATCCCACAGAGCAACTCTTTAAAGTACCATTTTCCTTATTTTACACATGTGGCATTTCAGGATCAGACAAGTTAACTGAATTGCCCAAGGACACACAGCAAGTACAACCTTAATTCAGAACGATGGCCAGAAGCTGAATCTAAACATGCTACGTCACATGTCTTGCTCCAGTCAGTAAGGACATGGCACATCAGTCACTTAAAATTTGCATCTTACATCATCTTGGGCAAGTAGTTTAACCTCTCAGAGATAAAGTTTCCCTATCTAAAAAGATATAGAAAGAAATGAGGTTGCTGTGAAGATTAAAGAGGAACATTTATAGACTCCCTAACCTAGTTCAGGACAAAGGAACTCAATAGTTGAGATCTCTTAGGATGATAGTGATAATTATGACTATAGTTATTGATCTTTTGCCCACCAACTTA